ATTGACCTCCTCCCAGTACCGGATGGCGTACTGGCGAAGAGTCTCGGATTCCCTCCGTCTGAGGGTCAACAACGATCCAATGTCTTTGGGGCGCTTACTCCCCGTAATAAATCGAGCCAGGAACTGCCTAATCAATTCCTTCCAGGACCCAATACTGTTTGGGTGAAGCGTCTCGAACCATTTCATCGCAGAGTCCCCCAAGCTCATAGGGAACACTCGGCAGAGAAACCGTTGGTCCGAATGATAGAGGGACATCATCTGTTTGTATTGTCTGATATGGGCTTCGGGGTCGGACCGCCCATCATAGGTTTTGAACCTTGGCACGACGAACTTTCTTGAGACCTCCATCTCGCTGATTTCCCTTGTGAAGGGTGTTTGTATGTCTTCGTCCTCGGCCTCATGCTGGACAGTCTTACCCTTTCTTCTAGAGTCTAATCGGGCTCTGAGATCGACTTCTTCCCTGACGGGATGCCTTCTGAAGTCCCTGTGTTCATTGGTAAGCCCCTCGTTTTCTGGGCGTCGTGTAGATTGGGTTGAGTCCTCCTCGGATTCATCTCCCTTCCTCCGTCTGGACAAACCTCGCCGGAGGTCGTCCAGGGCCAATGGCCTCGCTTTCCTGGAATGGTTGTCAAGATGATGCTCGCCGGCTCTGGGTCGCTTCGGGACCCTGGAGCTTTCTGCTTTGTGGTCTAGGTGGTTTCTCAGATCCTTTGTCTCCGCCTCCTGGACGGGGAGTCCTCGGGAAAGGAATGAATCCCTCGATCCTCCGCCTGAGGCGGCAAACTCATCGAGCCGGCTAAGGACGTTTACATTGTCCTTCTCGAGTTGACGTAATCTATCGCCAAATTTCTCTTCAATCACTTCTGCTAGCTGACGGGCCAAGGGGGCTGATCCTCCTGACCTGATCCCCATACTGGTTTGAGGGGTTACCCCCCTTGACCGAGTAGAGACACTTTTATTCGTATTGGTGCGATCCCTCCCTCCGTGATGGCAGGGAGCTTGTAACTCGAAACTCCTTTGGTGGGGTCTTTTCCCTTTCTGTCTAGTGTTCACCATGGTCACTGCTCTTTATAGAGAAAAAAACTAGGAAAACTAGTCGTTTCCCACAGACGGCGTCAGATTGTGCGTGCAAGATCCTGCACAATATAAAAAACGAGAACAGATCTCTCCCTTGGTGAACTTCGAGTGAGCCGGTTGAGTGACCAACCACGCCGCTTGGAACAGCCTGCGAGGTCCGGTGGTAACCTGGAACGGCAACGGGAGACCCTGGGTGAGATGGAGGACGATCCTGTAAGGCTGAAAGAGGATCCTGGAACAAAGAAGAACAAGTTAGAAGGGCGCCGGAGTGTTTTCCGGCGTATCCCCTCCGACGGTCTAGTCAGTCTTTGAGTGAGAGAGAGGAAGGAGAAAACACTGAGAAAAATGTACTGTAGTAGAGAGTTTGTGATTGCATACCCGTCTTGCCTTTTGCAAGGAGTATTTATACCTTAAAAGCTCATGATTGCTGTCAGTGTGGTCAGTAGGTGATCATTAGGTGCAGGTTGCGTGTGCATTGATTCTGATGAGGAATGTCTTCTCTAATTGACTGCTCAGGGTCCCGAGCAATTAATGTCGAGTCGTCGGGATGCCGACGGTACAATATGCTCCTCTCGGGGAGGATGCAATAAATGCTCTGTAATAGGAGCATTTATTGCCTTTCACTTCCGAGCCTTACCGCATTGAATGCGGTCTCATCAAGAGAATAGTGCAATTAATTGTTTGCTTTCCCAAAGCGCGTGTCAGCAACAGCATGCGGTTTGTCTGTCTTTGATGTGATATCATATGCCACGCGTCCATCACGTATTGGCTATGACCTCTGTATTCCAGTATGTTCTGACATTACTTGTGTAAGACGAGGTCATGATGAATAGTCTTAGACCGGCATAGGCTGATGACCTGTACGTCAGTAGCTTTATCCTGGAGTAGAGGAGGCGTCCAGGACGGGGTACCTCTCGGCACCGAGGAAGGCTGATCTCGGGGACCGAGGGAGGTATGCTTCCGAGGTACATGGGTGACCGAGGACACGTGTTGTTGTATAATACACCGAATGCATGATCCTATATGAGAGGTACCTCGGGGGCGAGGACATTCGTTTGCCGATAGTGCTTAAATCTAAGCAACACTGTTCTAACAAACCGAGGACACGTGTCTTCATCATAGGACTTTTCAGAAGAGTCCCATCAATGATTATAGTAGATAGAGTCATTCTGCTGAGGGATTCGCTTCAATCATAAAGTCAAAGTGACCTTATGGAAAATTTAGGGTTCTACCTAGACTTTGGATGTTAGAATACAGAGCCTGATATATTGAAGTACGGAAATGTTAGCACATCTTGCCGCATCATTGTGCAAAAAATAGACATCTACAATCACCTGGAAGTGATATGTTAGCAGTGTTAGGAAGTATGGAGCAAGACATAAGGACCTACTACCAAAATATACCAACTGTGAGATCTGAACTCATCATTTTCTATCTCACTTAGGGTTCTTTTAGAGGTGGATGAGGCAAACAATGCAAGGGATGAAAACAGCCATTCATTTCAGTTTCCATAATCACCAGTTGTGGAACATTAGAATAAGCTGCTTGGTCTGTGAGGGCTGCATCAAAATGACAAGTTAAGGATATAAAACAGAACTAGGATCGTTTGGCCTTATTCAGGAGTTCTTTAGTGAAGTTTATTAAATCTCTAACGCAAGAAAGAGATGATGGCATAAGGACTAGATGAGAAAAGATTGCCAGTGCTTATGAATTACGCAGGTGAGGCACCAAAATATGGCTGAAAAATTAGATTTAAAAAAATTCCAGAGACAAGGTCAAATGAAATAGATGAAGCAACAATTTGAGTTGTGTAAATAGCTGTTGGGTGATGGACAACAAATAGTTGTGGGGGTGAATTGGAGTGTGTGAAATTATCCAGTGTAATCATCATGAAAGTGGAGGGCAACAAAACACATAACAGCTTTCATAAGTTGTGGTTAAGTAACGAATTCATATATCAACAAACAATAATTTGACAACCTAAACTAATGATTTAAGTACTCTAGGTGTTTAATGCTCTAAGCCTCCAACATTTATATTTGTCCCTACACCATACCACCCTGGGACACACAAATTGCATTAGTTGATGAAATTAAGGCAGGGAAAGGAGATGTACAAAATCAAGTTTAAATTGAACTAAACCTATGCGACAATGGCAAGAAAGGACTAACAGTAGTTTGGATTGTCATGCATTTTTGCTCTGAACTGCTATCTCCAAGTCAATGCATGACATAATCCAGTATCAGGTCTAATAAAATGAGCCCCAACAACATGATTGTTGACCTATATTATAAAAAAGTCAATCACTGCCCAATTCTACGATAGTAAATGCATCAATACAAAGCTAATAAATACATTTTTTTTTTCTGGTCAAAGCAAATAAATACATTGAGGACCTAAAAAAAGCATAATGTATTATTTTCATATGATTTAATAGCAGTTGTCATACAGTGAAGCTTGAAACAAAGACAACAAGCTTACCCGTTACCTAGAATCCTAGATTGTACCAGCATACAAATTGAACGACTCCACTACTTGCACAATTTCACTCACTTCTAAAATTAGAGTTGAGACTCAATGAGCGCAAGTAACCTCTTTCTTGGCTGAACCAATCACACCACAGTTCAGAAGAATGCTCTGCTCCCATAAAACACTCTTGGGCTTTGGCCATTGCCATTTGCTGGTTGTGGCTTCTCGTCTGAGCCTGACTTTCCCGGATTGCCTGGTCCATTTTCAATAGCTGATCCCTTTTCAATGTCCATAGGAAGCTTCATTTTTGCAAGAGCCTCTGTGAATTGCTGCATACTTTTCATGTACATATCCACTATCTCTTGTTGCACCACCTTTTGTTCTGCTTCAACATGCACACTGATAACAGGCTGCACAAATGTGCTTACTGTCACTGCAGGTGAACCAGTCTCAGCCTCTTTATTAGCTTTCTCTACTTCCTCCTTCACGGATGAAACATCCTGGTTTGGAGATTTTGAAGCTCTCGGAGTGTCACAAATAGACTGGGAGCTTGTGGGAACCGATATTGAAGGAGACCCATTTGTTGAAACACTTAGGGGAGTGTCGATCTTTGAAACCACAATGGTATCTTGACTATTAGTTGCCAAGCTTTCTAGCAGAAAAACATTTTCACCTGAACTAAGGCAATTATCTTTTACAGTGGTGCCAAGGCATTCTGAGGTTTGGGAGTCCATATTGGCACATGGGACTGCGTAATACTCTGAGACCATCATCTCATTTTCATTCACAACTTTTGGATCTGGGAACTCGATCTTATCAAGTTCGCAAGGGATTGCATCGGGTACCCCAGAATTTCCAGCCACATTTGTAGCCCAAGAGGTACGCAGGGTGGGAAGTTCCAAGACTTCGGGGGATGCTCCAGTATAAGTGAGAGTCAATTGAACAAAACCAGCTAGAGAATGGAAGAGATCGCTTGATGAGAGAGAAAATTCACCAGCCATCTTTCCATTCTCAATGAGAACATCAGAAAGAGGCACCAATGCAAATCCCAACAGCTGATCTTCCAGATAATTCCTAACCCTACTCAGCATCCATATCTCACATTTTATCGACGAATCAAGCCTCCGAACATTGAGCTGAAGATTCTCATTAAAGACAGGATTCTGTCCCCCACCATTAATAGTCTTAGTTGAAACTGTTATTTCAGGATCACTAGTCAAGTAAAGCTTGGCATAAACATCTTGCTTATGGTAAATACATATGTTGAGGATATCCCTTGCTTGGTGTATGCAAACCTCAAGAACCCCAATAAACCCATTTGGGTTTTCTACCACACTCTCCTTCCTAAGTACCCCAGATTCGCTTGATAAATTGCCATTGTTCGGAGACACATATTCGGATTTCAGACATGGAAGCTCAGACACAGCAGGGGAGTTTGACAACATAACTGGCTTATGAGAATCCATGACAATACAAGTAAACACCCTTTGATCTGAGAAATTATGATCTGAGAAATTAAAAGCAACAAATGGGCCTTTAAACTAGCTAGGTGCAACCCAAAACCCCAAGCTAGCACTTAAAAACTTGAATTATAAAAGCAGGCAAACTACCAGTTGAAGCAAGCAAAAGGGTGAAGATTTCCAGAATCCCCAAGACACAATACTGATTAAAACCAACAGTACAACAAACCAAAACCCTAAGTTAGAAATTAGCAGTTACAAAATTGAATCACAAGAAGAATTGAAGACTCAGTTCTATCTTTAACCCAAAACTCAATACCCAGGCCAAAAACAGTGCAATCCAAAATCTAAACTTAAAGTTAGAACTTACAGCTCAAGCCACAATTGAAGACCTTGCTTTGTCTAGAGCCCCAAAATCTGAGTAATGAAAGCCACAAACACCAAACCCAAGAATCTAAAGCAGAGCTGAAACAAAGCCTAGATCTCAATTCCCAGAGGCCAAAATTCTAAAATATAGACATCCCAGGAGAAACTGAGCCAAAAACCCCAAATCAGACTTTAGCCCCACCAAAACCCATCAAGAATTAATCAAAGATAAGCACAAAGTCCAATAAAGCACTTACTTTTGTTTTGTAAACAGAAAACCTTCTTACTTTCCGCAAAAAAACAGGAACACTTGTCAAGCATCCAAGGCAAAGAGAGAAAGAAAAGGGGAGAAAGCAATGAACTTTTTATGAGCTTGATATTTGAGCACAAGAAATGGGCAGATGTTTTTTGAGAAGAGACAGGAAGAATGGAGGAAAATATGAGATGGGTTGGGTTTATCTCTTTCTCTTCTCTTTCGCTGGGTTTTTGGCTCTTTGCATAGAGAAGTCAATCCAGAGTTGTGTGTATTTATAGATCCATCTAGAAAACCCAGCTCGTGAATGAAGTCATAGATACAGAAAATCTGCAAAAACCAATAGATAATGTCATGCCAATCAACTATTTTTGCTCAACATTTTGAACTCTGTTTCAAACCTATTACCTTCGTCTGGGCTTTGGCATTATTCAATAATGCCAAAGGGGTAGCTTACAGTAAGCAGGATAAGACTTTTTCTCAATCAGATTATAGTAACTTGTCTGAAATTCCACTGGTTTCTTTGACCCAATTTATTAACATTTATGTGAATGAAAGTAACTTCTTGTTGACTGCATGCTTACTATAGTAAAGTAACAATTTTGATGAGAGTTACATTTTTTTTTTTTCTAAACGATCTGAGTATAACTTGATTTTAAAGAATTGTCAAAATTTAAATTTTAAATATCTGAATTTACAGTTCATATCTATTATCACTTATAAACTAAAACAAAAAAACAAAAAATGCAACTTTCAATTTGGTAGTTTAATTGTAATGAATGTTTAATCATGTGTTAATGTTACATCCGTTACATTTTTTATATCTATATAAAAACGTATTTTGTTAAATCTAAAACTTGGCTATATTACCGGTTCGCAAAACGAATAATAGAGTAGCTTATCACATTAATCGCATTTCGATATTTCTTTCGAACTATTTATTGTTTGTAAGCATACGTTCACTCAAATGTAGGTTATCAATACTGAGACTATGGTATCCATGAGAGATAAAGTCTCTCATGGTCTGATCTTAAAAAATTATCAAGATTCAAATTCAGAATGTGTAAGTTTACAGTTTATCACTGTTATAACTTAAATTAGGCATTGGAGTAAAAATAAGCATTTCTATTGGAATGTATCACTGTGTAAAATTAAAAACCCACTTACTTAGAAAAGAAGGGCTCCAAGTGTAGACCATTACCCTCTTTAATTTTTTAAATTATCTTCTATTTTTTTTTTCAACTGCTGTCCTGATTTGAACATATAGAAAATAAGGAAGAGCACCACATCTAAACAACTAATTTCTTTGATTCTTTAAATAGATTGGTTAATGTGTGTCTTGCGTTGAACATGTAGGAAATAATTATTGCTTCTGTAATCATGTAAAATTAGGCTTTGAAAGATCATGGGTATAGTGCTGTCAAATAAATCGAGCCACCAATTATCTCTTAACCCAAATAAATAAATAAGATTATGATTTGCATCCAGTAACAATAGGTTTAATTGTTAATTAAAAAAAGTGAATACTTCAGTACCCAATGTCAAGATGGCCGAGTTGGTCTAAGGCGCCAGTTTCAGGTACTGGTCCGAAAGGGCATGGGTTCAAATCCCATTCTTGACAATATTTGAAAATTTTTTGCTTACCCTTTTCCTGCTTTGTGTGAAAGTCTTTCGGAAAATTTCGAACTAGCATGAACGAGTTGAATTTAAATTTGGGCAATTTTTGAGGTCAAGTCATGACAAATTTATTACTCATTAATATCTTAGTTTTAATGTAGATGATTTATTTTTGATCGAATCGGAGAGGAGATTTATCAAAATGAGCGTAAGTTAGTTTGAACAACCATGATCGTTGAAGACAAAAAATAAAAAATAGGGACAAGTTATAAATTAAAACATCTATGATCTATCTTTGATCAAATTGTGGAAAAGATTAATCAAAATATGCATACAACTAGCCTAAACATCCTAATTATTACAGAAAAAATAAATTTTTTCTGGGCCTTAGAAGTCCCTATATATTCAAAGACTTTTTTTGCTTAACACTTTTGTCAAACCCTTTTAAGCTTATATCTTCTACATTAAGAGATTAAGATCTCTTCCTATACTTTTTATTTTATTAATTTATTATTTTTGAGAAGAAGATCTCTTCCTATACTTTTTATTTTATTAATTTATTATTTTTGAGAAGGGAAAGGGGACTTAAACCATTGACTTCAATAAAACTTATTTCCACGAGACAAGGAGTATCATTAGACCAAATATTCAATGGTGTATACTTTTTTCTTTAACTTCGTTCAAGAACANGGAAAAGGGGACTTAAACCATTGACTTCAATAAAACTTATTTCCACGAGACAAGGAGTACCATTAGACCAAATATTCAATGGTGTATACTTTTTTCTTTAACTTCGTTCAAGAACAGCATATATGGTTAGGGAATTCACTTATTATAAATAACGGGTTCTACATAAATTAATGGTGAGCGAGTTATCCTAAAAGGAAACTAAGAAAAAATTATTAAAGTGAATTTGAATTTAACACTAACATGTTGCCAAGCTTTTGCAATAAAAATGAATCGTCTGACAACAATTAGGTCTGAAAATTTTATTTTTGCATTGGGTACATATTAATAATTGAATTGAATTTGTTAATCTAATTCATCACAGCCTATTTAATCCGAGGGTTATGAATGATTAGGTTAACAAATTTGTACAAAAAATATTGCATTTGGTAAGCCTGATAGGGCTTGAAAATTGTGAAAAACTATGCTTAATTAAAAGTTCCACAAAAACTTTGGTGATAATGCAAAACTAACCCAACATAAGTAGGGCATAAAAAAGGCATAGCAACAGGTACATATGATTTCTCTGTGACTGATTCAACCATGGCTTGACCCACTTCCTTTCTCAGAAACCCCTATTAGTCCTTCTCTTCTCAACTTCTCTTCCTTTGCTTTTCTGCAAAATATGACCCAAGCATTCACTTCCAAAGATATACATATCCCAATCAATGTGGACAGACACAAACAGTACCCCAACTTAGCATAAGACCTGCCCTCTCCCATTACCTCAAAACCCTGAAAAACATTCACAACCCCTAACACTACACAAGCATACCCCACAAAATGGTGGTATGATTTCCAGTATTTTCTGAACTTATTTGTTGTTTTAGGCCTAAAAAACAATGCCAATGTCTGCAAACTCCCCAAGCAAAACGCCGCGAACCCGAGTTTTCGATGAAGGCCATAAACCCTTCCTGGTGAAAGCTCTCCTAGTCGAATTCCAATGGAAAACCCTACTGTTCCTAAGAAAAATGCGAAAAGTTGCACACCAGCATGAGCATAGAACCATGTAGGACCTAGTGCTTGTATGTGTCGTAGATATCGAGCAATGACGGCCCCAATGGGTAGTAAAATCCCCCATGAAATGGCGTTTATGACGCCATGAACAGTTTTTAGGGTTTGTATGTTGTTGTGTCCCTTGGTTGTAGAGCCAGAGAGGACATCAATGGTGGTGATTGATGAAAGGTCGTTAATGGTGGTTGGATGGATGGTAGGAGAATAGCCTTGGACGTATAGTCCTCGGTTCCAAACATGGTGGATCTTGGTTTTGTTTGGTACAAGTTTTAATGTAGCAAAGATTTGTATAGCGGCACCATTGTGGATTGTTGCCATTCGACCACCGTATAGGGTGGCGGAGGAAGAGAGGAGGTGGGTGTCGAGAGGGCGGGAGAGGAGTGGAGATCGTTGGAGCTTCACTGTAGGGTCTAAGATGTAGGGTAGGAGGACTAATTGGCCGGAATTGGGGTCTGGAAAGGCAATAAGTGCTCGTGTTCCGGTCATCTCCGGTGAAGTAGGGTTTATACCCCATCCAACCCAACCGGAGGGTGATATGAAGGTTCCAAAGAAGACAAGGTCGAGGGTGGCATTATGTGGATGGAAAGTCCATGCCATGGAGGCTTGTTGAGAGGGGAGTGTCATGCATTTTTGGAAGGTTTTGGTGGCGGTCACGGTGGTGCAATGAGCTGAAACCACCCTATGAGGGTGGGAGGACAGGAGTAGGAAGAAGAGAAATGGAAGCATGGTGGTGGAAGAAGAGAAGCAAATCAGAACAAGAAAGTTAAAGGAGAGAGAGACAGCTTATGTCAACATATATGTGATTTGGATTGATGATGTTCTTTTGGAAATAATGAGGATGAGGATAATGGCACATGCCATGAGTGACCAGTGGATGAATTATGAGTAGTGTGCGTTTGTGCTTAGCTTTGAAGTGAGGCAATTGTAGAGTACTTGGTTTGGTGGGGTGTTGAGAAGGAAAGCTTTTGGGTTGTGATTGTGGTTAGACTTAGACATATTTAAGTTGGAAAGCTGTTGTAGTTGAGAATTGGGATTGCTTAACTTTGAAGCCAAGAGTGAGTGAAACAGTTATAATGACTAGGAACCCAAAGGGTGATCATCACACATTTAACTACCTTTTTCCAATTGGAAATGGAAAATAACAGAGGTGGCCATTTTCTCTAACCCACAAATATAAATAATTACTTTCAATAATAGTTCAAGTGATAATAAAAATAAATTATAAATTCAAACTGAGTTCGAATCTTGGTAATTTTTTGTGATCAGACCATGAAAAATTTACTTCTCATTAATATCTTAGTTTTAGTGTAGATTAATTAAAGAGTACATAAGTTGGCTCGAATATCCCTAACCATTAAACAAAAAAAAAATAATATATATATAATTTACACTATACCATATGTGAGTTAAGAAGTGCTCAAATTCTTACTCAAGTTCTGCTCGACACGAATTAAAAGTATTTGAACCGAACTCAAACTAAACTTCTTCGTAAAAAAATTCATAAATATGACCTTAGAACTTAATAACTCAATTTTAAAACAACTAATTTCTCAACAAAATCTTTCAAAAGATGTATAATGGACCCTGAAGTCAAAGGTTAAACTTTAAATTTCCCCAAAAAGATATTGAAGGATTGAGGGATAAAGAAATGCATATGACTTAGATCTATTTGAGAATAAGTTTTGATTTTTTCATTTTGGGTTAATTGTGTTGAAGGTCTTCAAAGTATAAAACTTGTCTCATTTTGGTTCTTAATATTTCAATTGTATCATTTTGGTCCCTAAAATATTGAATATATTTCTATGTTGTCCTTCAAACAGATACCATCCACATTATTAATAATTTTTTATTATAAACTTGTCATATGATACCTAAATATGGGTTAAAAAATAATTTATATAATACTTGACTAAAATTTTACGCAAATTTTGATTAAAGAGCTACCCAAATTATACAATTTTTTATCATGAGATATCTAATTTTTTGTTAAAAATTACCCATTTTACACATTTTTGTCAACGACAACCCAAATTTTAATCAAGAGCTATCCAAAATTGTTTATTGTTCATTTTTAGGTATTACATGATAAAAAATTATTGATAATTTAGATATTGTTTACTTGAGAGACCACATGAAAATATATTCAATATTTCAAGAATCAAAATGATGCATTAGAGACTAAAATAAAATAAACATCATACTTTGAAGACTTCTAATATAATTAACTATTTCATTTTTTGAAATAGGGATTGTTTGGTAATAAAATTGGAATTACTTACAAATAGAAACATTTTGAAGCCAAAGCTGCACCTGACTAATTTAAGTGACACTTCTTTGAGCTCAGTGGTTGTCACCGCATTTTGAGCTAAGTTAAAACATGTGCCCGAAAAAAGAATTGGATTTTAAACTTCTAAATTATTATAGATTAAACTATCCCTCAAGATTTATAATTTAAATAACTGGAACAAGTTAAAATTGAACTAAATTCCAAATACCTAGAATTATATAACAACATATTAATTGCATATCAAACATGCGATTAGGTCTAAGAAATTGAAATCTTTAGGATGATTCAGTCACACTTGAGGACTATCCGCCCTTATTACTCAAATATGTTACGGTGGTTGGCTCAAAATCCAAGAGGATAATCGAAGCTTGACCACTCGGTAGCCAAAAAAAAAAAGGGTTGCTTTTAAGACACGGAAACACGACGTCGTCTAGGGCTGCGTGACCTGCATCGAGACTGATTGTCCCCTTCTTTAAGCTTTCAGCTTGCAGAGAAAGCAGAAACTCAAAAATAATTTTCAGAGAGAGAAAATGAAGGTTAGCTTGGAGGGAGAGAAGGTAATACTTGTACCATACATGAAAGAGCATGTCCCAAAGTACCATCAATGGATGCAAGACCCTGCTCTTCTTCAAGCCACCGGCTCTGAGCCGCTAACCCTGGAGCAGGAGTACGAGATGCAACTGTCCTGGACCCAAGATCCATTGAGTATCTCTCTCCCTGTGTATATGTGTTATATGCGTATTTATGGATATATATTACTGGGTTGTTTGAGTTTTGATGAAAAATTGAAGTTTTGAAGATAGGTTTTTATCGCAGAGCAGACTTTCATTGTTCTGGACAAGGTATTGGTGGTTGGAGACTTCATGCATGGAGATTCGCATGTGGAAGGTCACTTTTGATCTTTAATTCTGCGTCCTTTGGTTTGATTTGTTGAATCTTGTCGATTTTCTATATTGGGCTTATGCATTTTATTGCTTCAAGCTGGTTTGTACTTGAAATTAATAGTTATTATGGTTTAAGGTCACTTTTGGATTTTAATTCTTCATCCTTTTATTTAGCATGCTGAATTTTGTTGATTTTCCATACCGTGCTTATGCACTTTGTTCGTTTCGNAGTTGGCTCGAATATCCCTAACCATTAAACAAAAAAAAATAATATATATATAATTTACACTATACCATATGTGAGTTAAGAAGTGCTCAAATTCTTACTCAACTTCTGCTCGACACGAATTAAAAGTATTTGAACCGAACTCAAACTAAACTTCTTCGTAAAAAAATTCAGAAATATGACCTTAGAACTTAATAACTCAATTTTAAAACAACTAATTTCTCAACAAAATCTTTCAAAAGATGTATNAGACATAGTGAAAAAGTTATGATTGAAAATCAAGAAATACCAATGAGTAAACTATTTAGATATCTAGGATTGATCATTAAAAATAATGGAGAGATTGGAGATGATGTATTTTATAGAATCAACACCGGTTGGCTTAAGTGGAGGAAAGTCTCTGGCTTATTATATGATATGATACTAATAAAATTGAAAGGTAAGTTTTATTGAGAAGTTATAAGGACAACANGCGTTGAAGGTCTTCAAAGTATAAAACTTGTCTCATTTTGGTTCTTAATATTTCAATTGCATCATTTTGGTCCCTAAAATATTGAATATATTTCTATGTTGTCCTTCAAGCAGATACCATCCACATTATTAATAAAATAATTATGATACCTAAATATGGATTAGAAAATAATTTATATAATACTTGACCAAAATTTTACGCAAATTTTGATTAAAGAGCTACCCAAATTATACAATTTTTTATCATGAGATATCTAATTTTTTGTTAAAAATTACCCATATTACACATTTTTGTCAACGACGACCCANAAACATAGTGAAAAAGTTATGATTGAAAATCAAGAAATACCAATGAGTAAACTATTTAGATATCTAAGATTGATCATTAAAAATAATGGCGAGATTGGAGATGATGTATTTTATAGAATCAACACCGGTTGGCTTAAGTGGAGGAAAGTCTCTGGCTTATTATATGATATGATACTAATAAAATTGAAAGGTAAGTTTTATTGAGAAGTTATAAGGACAACAATACTGTATGAGACAAAATGCTGGCCTATTAGGAAATAACATAGTGATAAAATGAGTGTAGTGGAAATGAGAATGTTAAGGCGGATGTGTGGANATAAATAGAAACATTTTGAAGCCAAAGCTGCACCTGGCTAATTTAAGTGACACTTCTTTGAGCTTAGTGGTTGTCACCGCATTTTGAGCTAAATTAAAACATGTGCCTGAAAAAAGAATTGGATTTTAAACTTCTAAATTATTATAGATTAAACTATCCCTCAAGATTTATAATTTAAATAACTGGAACAAGTTAAAATTGAACTAAATTCCAAATACCTAGAATTATATAACAACATATTAATTGCATATCAAACATGCGATTAGGTCTAAGAAATTGAAATCTTTAGGATGATTCAGTCACACTTGAGGACTATCCGCCCTTATTACTCAAATATGTTACGGTGGTTGGCTCAAAATCCAAGAGGATAATCGAAGCTTGACCACTCGGTAGCCAAAAAAAAAAAGGGTTGCTTTTAAGACACGGAAACACGACGTCGTCTAGGGCTGCGTGACCTGCATCGAGACTGATTGTCCCCTTCTTTAAGCTTTCAGCTTGCAGAGAAAGCAGAAACTCAAAAATAATTTTCAGAGAGAGAAAATGAAGGTTAGCTTGGAGGGAGAGAAGGTAATACTTGTACCATACATGAAAGAGCATGTCCCAAAGTACCATCAATGGATGCAAGACCCTGCTCTTCTTCAAGCCACCGGCTCTGAGCCGCTAACCCTGGAGCAGGAGTACGAGATGCAACTGTCCTGGACCCAAGATCCATTGAGTATCTCTCTCCCTGTGTATATGTGTTATATGCGTATTTATGGATATATATTACTGGGTTGTTTGAGTTTTGATGAAAAATTGAAGTTTTGAAGATAGGTTTTTATCGCAGAGCAGACTTTCATTGTTCTGGACAAGGTATTGGTGGTTGGAGACTTCATGCATGGAGATTCGCATGTGGAAGGTCACTTTTGATCTTTAATTCTGCGTCCTTTGGTTTGATTTGTTGAATCTTGTCGATTTTCTATATTGGGCTTATGCATTTTATTGCTTCAAGCTGGTTTGTACTTGAAATTAATAGTTATTATGGTTTAAGGTCACTTTTGGATTTTAATTCTTCATCCTTTTATTTAGCATGCTGAATTTTGTTGATTTTCCATACCGTGCTTATGCACTTTGTTCGTTTCGGGCTGAGTTTGTGCTTGAAATTCATAATCCTTATGGTGTATGGTTTGTTGCAATGCCTATTTTGTCCAGTGTCAATTGGTAATTGTTTTTCTATTAGTTTTACATAATTCTGGTGGTTTTCTATTTGTGAATTTACCTTGAACTTTTCNGTAGTCCAACTGAAGTCCGTGGCTGTTGTTAAGACTTAAGATAATGCGAAGTTCTGGGAGAGGGTGGGAAGAGTTGCATAGAAAATTACAATCTCTATTTTTCTCAGCTACACATAGTATGATTAATACACAAGGGTAATTTAGAATGTGAATGTCAAAGTAGCTGGTTGAACAGTTTGATATTGTGTAAGAATAGATTTGTGGCTGGTGTTTTTGATCTACATTAGTAATTCAAACCTCTTGATCTCGACATTGATAGCTTTTTATCTGTTGAATATGAGTACCTTGGTCAAGGCAATACTGTCGGGCTTTGTNCGGTTTGATATTGTGTAAGAATAGATTTGTGGCTGGTGTTTTTGATCTACATTAGTAATTCAAACCTCTTGATCTCTACATTGATAGCTTTTTATCTGTTGAATATGAGTACCTTGGTCAAGGCAATACTGTCGGGCTTTGTAGAAGAGCCCTCCCACTAATTGAAGTCAAAAGGTGAGTCGACACAACTTATCATTCTCCCTTCTCCCAAAACCTAAAAAGGGGACCAGAAATTGTCTATACATGTGTTTTGTATGAATGTTTGAAACCATAACTAGGAGGCTAGGACTTAGTATTATTTTTCTTCAAGTTTTGATGTTTTGCTTAAGTTCACAGGATCATCAAAGATCAAGTCAATTAAGGAGGAGTTTACTTGTTGAATTAGAANTTGACACAACTTATCATTCTCCCTTCTCCCAAAACCTAAAAAGGGGATCAGAAATTGTCTATACATGTGTTTTGTATGAATGTTTGAAACCATAACTAGGAGGCTAGGACTTAGTATTATTTTTCTTCAAGTTTTGATGTTTTGCTTAAGTTCACAGGATCATCAAAGATCAAGTCAATTAAGGAGGAGTTTACTTGTTGAATTAGAAAAGAAAAAAAAAAGTTTTCTACGGATACATATGTTGAGTTTTTTCTTAAATTGAATTTCAAATGTCCAGCCCAGTTTTCAAATCTCCATATGAGTGGGTTGAGGTAGGGAGTTATCTTCTACAGCTGATGGTCAAAAGAGGCCAGTCTAGGGTCGTATCTATGCCTGTATCTACCATTTACAGGTATCCATAGAATGTGCAGTATTAACTCACTGCAAGACCTTTGCTGGTTGGAGGCTGTGGAGTGCATTAACCTACTGTGAAACGTGTATAAAAAAAATAAAAAATAATCACACATAAGGAAATAAACAATGAAAAGGAAAAGAAGAATACAGTGCTCTTTAAGAAGCTATATGTGAAATCCTAATTATATTTGAGGGAAGAAAGCTTCAATCTGAGCCAGTTCGTTTCTAACTAGAATAGCAGTCGAGTAAGGTTTCTGTATTCTTTAAGAAACTAACTATAATAGCCTTTTTCAGCCATGGTTGGTGATGTGAATATATACATGAATGATTTGGATGATCCTCAAATGGCAGAGATTGAAATAATGATAGCTGAACCCAAACGGTATCTGTCTTTCATTTCTTCCTAATGCTATTCCAATTTTAAAATTATGTTGTGTTATCACTTGTTTTACTTTCATCTTTCATATTTCATCTTTGATTTATGTGGAAGTCTGTATGACTTTATAAGTACATTGAAAAATCTTATTTTTCTTGCTCAGTTCTGGATTTCTTTTGTCGCTATGATTATTTTGGATTGGTTCAATTATTAAAGATAGCGAAGTTCTCCTACAAGAAATAGATCTATTTGTTTAGTGACAAGCAAATAAATAGTAGAAAAAATTACCGTTATCTCCCATTGGAAAACCTGTAAGTCCTATCAAAATCCTATCTGGACAATTATGTCACAGTTTTCAAAAATAATTTTCCCTTGTCCTTTAGATTTTTATTTCTACAATTCCATTAATATCAATTACTTTGGCTTTTCTAGGGAAAGGTTGATTTGGGAAGAAGTTGCTGCACAATTTATATAAAGATGGTAAATTTTAAGCATTTGTGAAAATATTAAACAACATTACAAACCTATTTTTTGATTTTAGAATACATTGAAATTAGTTAGAAAATATGAGCAAAAAATGCAACTGATGTCCGTGAAAAAGGCAAAATGGGAATAAAGTATATTATTGATGGAGTCTTAAACTAATTCTTATCAAATTATTCTGAAAAATACTTGTCAAAATAGAATACATTGAAATTAGTTAGAAAATATGAGCAAAAAATGCAACTGATGTCCGTGAAAAAGGCAAAATGGGAATAAAGTATATTATTGATGGAGTCTTAAACTAATTCTTATCAAATTATTCTGAAAAATACTTGTCAAAATAGAATACATTGAAATTAGTTAGAAAATATGAGCAAAAAATGCAACTGATGTCCGTGAAAAAGGCAAAATGGGAATAAAGTATATTATTGATGGAGTCTTAAACTAATTCTTATCAAATTATTCTGAAAAATACTTGTCAAAATAGAATACATTGAAATTAGTTAGAAAATATGAGCAAAAAATGCAACTGATGTCCGTGAAAAAGGCAAAATGGGAATAAAGTATATTATTGATGGAGTCTTAAACTAATTCTTATCAAATTATTCTGAAAAATACTTGTCAAAATAGAATACATTGAAATTAGTTAGAAAATATGAGCAAAAAATGCAACTGATGTCCGTGAAAAAGGCAAAATGGGAATAAAGTATATTATTGATGGAGTCTTAAACTAATTCTTATCAAATTATTCTGAAAAATACTTGTCAAAATAGAAGTTTCTGACATGACTTAAGGTTGGACTAATATTTAATTTTCCTAGAATATATCACATGATTTAGAATTTGAATCATTGACATTGTCAGTAGATTCATTGAGTCAGCATCAAGCTTAATCTTTTCAATATTGATAGAACTGATAAAAAGAAAACACCAAAGAGGATTGCAACCCTATGCATGGAACTAACACTCCTCAATCCCCTCAAGCATTGATATCACCTGAGAAAGGGTATTCACTGCCAGAAGCCAAGAAAAGAAGGACTTACTGAATATTTGCCTTAGCTGACCCTGGAGCTCCCATTCCTAAAATAATCTCCTATTTCTCTCCATCCAAAAGTGTGAAAAGGCACAGGGCTGATGCTTGTTGCTCCATTCTAGCTCTTCTATCTAGATTATCTGCTTGCCAGCTACATAGCACCTCACTTTGGGCTTTGTATCCCATACTGAATCCCAAATAAAGACAGAAGGACATTAAAATCCTAGCCACCCAGGCAATATAATATGAATTGCTGTGTACTCTGCTAGCACACAACCAACAACTGGCATTTATTTGAAATATATGTTGATATCATCTTCGTTTAAAATACCCAGAAGGGCAGTCTGAATACGTGGCAGCTGAATGATATACCCTAGAACACCTGAAAAACTAGGCAGTATGTTCCTTGCTGACAAAGTGCATAGGTAACTGGGATTTCCCCTCCATGGACATGAACACGAAGCACTCTTTCATCTTGCGCGTGCAATGATTGTTTCACTAATGGAAAAGATCTTGATATTTTCCTGTTAATTTGCATCGTTAAAAATCTTCATGTCACATGGGAAGAATGTTTTTAAGGTTTTTTCAGTAATGAAATTGTATTTTCTTGAACTTCAGTAAATCTGTTAGATTTCTCTGCTCAGTTGCATATTTTGTGTAAATGAGACAGGTCAAGGTTTTCCAATCAGTACCTTATTGTTTTATTAAAATCCTTCATTTTNATTGTATTTTCTTGAACTTCAGTAAATCTGTTAGATTTCTCTGCTCAGTTGCATATTTTGTGTAAATGTGACAGGTCAAGGTTTTCCAATCAGTACCTTATTGTTTTATTAAAATCCTTCATTTTCATACAGTTCTCCACCCTTGTTTGACTTGTTTGTTGATTCATTTCATGTTCACTCTTGCTAGCGTAGTCGTGGCAAAGGACTTGGGAAGGAATCAATTTTGATGATGATGGCTTTTGCAATTGAGAATTTCGGCATTCATATATTCCGCGTCAAAATTGGAGAATCAAATGAAGCTTCTCTCACTCTGTTCAGGAAATTGGTCTCTCTCTCTCTCCCCACCCACTTGCATTGACACCTTCAGAAGCAGCAACATATATTCTCATTGCTGCATGCTCATGCAGTGTTGGTCATTCAGTAGATGGACAATCTTTTTTTTTTTCTTTTCTTTTCCGCTTACGAATCAGGAGACAAGCTCGTGCTCTTATGCATGTAGACTTGCATGNTAGGTGTTTCCGCTTACGAATCAGGAGACAAGCTCGTGCTCTTATGCATGTAGACTTGCATGTTATTATGTTCTTCCATTTGTTTTATACTAAATGCCTGACTTGGTTTTTATAGGGGTTTATGGAGGCATCTTACAGCGAAATCTTCAAAGAGGTCAGCTTACCTCATTTTTACCTGCATTGGAAGACCAAAACCTTATTGCAAATCACGCCTCAAAGAAGAAAAGGAAAGAGAAAAGGGGGGGAGGGGGTTCCTTGAGGGAGTGAGAGCTGCCATAATTAAAATTCTTCACTCCAAAATCAACCTCTCATTACTGGGACTTTTGTAAGGGCTCAACTTACATATAGTTGAGCCTGTACCATTTCTTAGGATACTTAAAATTACGCCAGCCAACATGATGAGATGGTGGACCCACCATATGATTTGTTCCATTTAGTAAATAATTATTTTTTGTTGAAACAAGGCAGTTTAGTGTGACGGCTGAGCATTTAATTGTTATTGAATTTTCTTTGGACTCTTTAAGGAAACTGCAGTTTGAAATGAGTCATATAAAAAGAAGAATCATGTGGACGGTTGACTTATAAAATGAATCTGGCTTTACTGAATGAAACACATTGATGGAATCCATCATATGCAGTGCCAGTGCCACTGCATATGCTTGATTGTTGTTCTTCTTCATCATGTTAAAATGGCATAGTAACCTAAAAAACTTCATTTGTTGTTCATAGAAGCTTAGCAGAAAAAGAAGAGAAAAAATTGTTTCAAAGTCGAGCCTTTTACCTCAACTATTGAGTCTTCACCTTATTTTCATGACATCTTACAAGGAGCAACAGTAGTGCACGTATGATGTAACTTCATCTTGTTATGTTGTGCAGGTGACACTGGAGTTATCAATAACAGAGCTGAAGTGTCGGGAGCTGCACCCTTTAGTTGGTAATATGGTTACACATTCGTAATTTAGAAAAAAACTGTCTTCTTTGTTCTACATACACCCGAGGAACTCTTTCTCCTGTTTTCCCCATTTGCTGAGGGAAGCTACGTGCTTATTTATCCTTATTTGTGGAAATATTCAAGAAGTTGTTCTTGTTAGACAGTTCATTCTAAAGTGACACTTATGCACAGGAATTGAATGCCAAGGTTATGTGTAAAGTTCAGCCACTCATTGCGTATGTGCATTAATATGTGACTACCTTTGAACCTTTGAAGTCCTCCCCAACCCCCCCGGCTCTGTGCGATGAGCCCATGCCCCCGAAGGGTCTTGCAGCCAGTGCCGGGGTTTAGAACAACTTTTTACGTGGGCAGAGTGTTATTGTTATGATCTGCTTATTCAAATAGGAACGCTAGAGGGATTCTTGTCTGACATTTTGAAGGGCAATGCCAAGTTATTTAGCAAACACAGGTCATACAACAAAAGGCAAACTGGTTTGAAGAGGCATGAAAAGCAGAAAACAGAAAATAAAATGGCATGGCATAAACTTAAAATGTTTTCTATATTTAAGAGCTAATGCGGGTTGATAGACTGGAATAGCTACAAGACAGTAATATTGGTACTGAAAAACTTAACCTTACTGATTATCTAACAGTACCACTTTCGACAACTTGGGAGTTGGGACCATAATTTGAGTGGTTGGAGTGAGCTAACATCAATGCTAACATGTCATAATTTCTTCTTGTTTATCTGTTGCTAACCTGACAGAAAGTTCAGTATCCCCATTGATTGAAGATTTGGTGGTGATGTTGAATGGATCTGAGGAACATTGTCCGAGACTGAACTTCCTGCTTGCCAGACATGGTTGACAAGGGTCCCGTTATTTAGTGGACCCACAACAGCAAAGATGGTCATTTCATTATCTGAATATTCTGCAGTGATGTTGGAAACCTGAAAGCTGAGAGCTTCTGGTTGCATTGAGGGGTTGTAACTTGTTATTGGCGTTGGATAAACTGTCACACTCCCATTAGTGTTGTGAAAAGCAACAAGTGCCTGTGATCCAACCATGCCTCTTCCTGTTGGGTTGATCCCCCATGCGATCCATCCTTTGGATTTTTGTTTGGCTCTGTATGCAATTGCAACTTTTCCGGTGGATGGATTGTAGTTCCAGTGAAGATGGGCCTCTAGATATGGGAGGTCACTGCATGAATAGAAAACTCTGTCGGATGTGAATGTGTAGTTAGAGCAGCTTTGAGCAGAGGAAACAAGGAAAATAGAAACAAGAGTGCAAGATAGTAAACTTGCTCTTATGCTTACAGCCATTGGGTATTGATTTTTTTGGTGGGACTATAGGTTTGTTATACTGTCGGATCAACCAATTGTTGTAACCCGAGTGACTTGTTGCAGATTGGTTAAGGAGATGGAGTCGAGAATTATTATGCTATGCAGACATATATTTGGATTGGGGCTTTATTGTGAGGAAATTCAGGCTTTAATAGGAAGTGACTAAGATGAAATGGAATTGGGAGTTGCTGTTTGGTTTGCTTTAGTTTCACTGATTTCTGCAAGTTTAGGTGAGGCCAAGAAGCTCAATTGTGCAGAGTCATGAAAGTGAACTTTTTGTTCTTCCTGCTTGATTTGGCAATTCTTGCATGAGGTTTTTCTCTTGCTTATGCTTTTCCTGTGACATGCAACTATTGTTTTTCCAACCTAACACCCAATTCAGCAGCAAAACCTGGCGGCCAAGTCGTAGATTCTGCATGATAAACCTACCGGAAACTAATGTGTATTCATACGTGCATCGTCGAACATTTACATTTTACTTTTCTCTGATATTTGATGATAATTGAAGGTTGAGAAAGCTCGGTTTGATCATTTTTTTTGACCTTAGTGAAATAATCTCTGTTTAACTGTCACCTTGCATTTGATTATTATACTGATTTAAGCCTATAGTCATCCCCAAGGTTGATATGCAAATTAGTCACCATAAATTAATGTGACAATTTTTCGATTTATGCGTTTCATTCCTGCCCGGGGTCTATGCAAATCTTTTATAAATGCAGACTATGCACACCGGATTATGTGATACGATATGTCGATTTCGTCTAGGATTGATAATTCTTAGTATTTAGTCAATTAACGAAACTCATACAAGATCAATGGTTGTGAGTTTATCTTAAAAGATAGATTCATAAATAGTAATTTTATCATACATGTTTAGCAAATTAGTTGATATAAACCTGATTAAACAAGATAAAAATCAAAATAAACAAAACTATATGACTATATTATGACTCTATATAGATACAAACATGAGAAGAGTTTTTTTTTAAAATGACTTGTCTATGATTTCAAAATACGACAGAACATGAACTACTATCACACCTAATGTTAGCTTTTAAGAATTTCGAAAGCGAATTTCATACGCGCTCCAAATTGGATGACACGATTGAAGACATAATATTATTTGTGGGGTGATTTAGATTCGGATTCTATCCAATATTTTATTTCATTGATATATTACCCCATCATATTTTGCTAGAAGACTCACTTAGATATAATGAGTCACAATTATATTTACGATGAATAAATCTATATAAGTAAATCCATTTGAAAGAGGGAAACACTTTTTGAAATTCCATTGTATAGCTTGTGTGTTTCTTGAAATAAGAGCATTTTCAATTGTAAAGTATTTTTTTTAAATAAAAAGTATCTTTGATAAAAAAAAATTAAAATAAATAGTAAAATTTTGTATACCACTCCAATAAGACTCTTCATTCTTATTCATTTATTATTTTATGTTTTGTCGTTTTTAGGAATACTAGTAATAACTTGTGTCTGAAGACACTGTGTAACACAAAAAAATAAACCTACTAATCAAAGAATCATGAGCCCATATATCGCTTTCTTACCTTTTCCAATATTTCAACCATGCAATGCAGTTCAACAAAAACAATAAAGTTGTGTAAACATACATTTGACTCATAATCTGACAATATGGATTTATTGCAAATAATTAGAACATAAATAGTTTAACTTAATATTTNTGAGCCTGTACCATTTCTTAGGATACTTAAAATTACGCCAGCCAACATGATGAGATGGTGGACCCACCATATGATTTGTTCCATTTAGTAAATAATTATTTTTTGTTGAAACAAGGCAGTTTAGTGTGACGGCNTCAGCCTGTACCATTTCTTAGGATACTTAAAATTACGCCAGCCAACATGATGAGATGGTGGACCCACCATATGATTCGTTCCATTTAGTAAATAATTATTTTTTGTTGAAACAAGGCAGTTTAGTGTGACGGCTGAGCATTTAATTGTTATTGAATTTTCTTTGGACTCTTTAAGGAAACTGCAGTTTGAAATGAGTCATATAAAAAGAAGAATCATGTGGACGGTTGACTTATAAAATGAATCTGGCTTTACTGAATGAAACACATTGATGGAATCCATCATATGCAGTGCCAGTGCCACTGCATATGCTTGATTGTTGTTCTTCTTCATCATGTTAAAATGGCATAGTAACCTAAAAAACTTCATTTGTTGTTCTATAGAAGCTTAGCAGAAAAAGAAGAGAAAAAATTGTTTCAAAGTCGAGCCTTTTACCTCAACTATTGAGTCTTCACCTTATTTTCATGACATCTTACAAGGAGCAACAGTAGTGCACGTATGATGTAACTTCATCTTGTTATGTTGTGCAGGTGACACTGGAGTTATCAATAACAGAGCTGAAGTGTCGGGAGCTGCACCCTTTAGTTGGTAATATGGTTACACATTCGTAATTTAGAAAAAAACTGTCTTCTTTGTTCTACATACACCCGAGGAACTCTTTCTCCTGTTTTCCCCATTTGCTGAGGGAAGCTACGTGCTTATTTATCCTTATTTGTGGAAATATTCAAGAAGTTGTTCTTGTTAGACAGTTCATTCTAAAGTGACACTTATGCACAGGAATTGAATGCCAAGGTTATGTGTAAAGTTCAGCCACTCATTGCGTATGTGCATTAATATGTGACTACCTTTGAACCTTTGAAGTCCTCCCCAACCCCCCCGGCTCTGTGCGATGAGCCCATGCCCCCGAAGGGTCTTGCAGCCAGTGCCGGGGTTTAGAACAACTTTTTACGTGGGCAGAGTGTTATTGTTATGATCTGCTTATTCAAATAGGAACGCTAGAGGGATTCTTGTCTGACATTTTGAAGGGCAATGCCAAGTTATTTAGCAAACACAGGTCATACAACAAAAGGCAAACTGGTTTGAAGAGGCATGAAAAGCAGAAAACAGAAAATAAAATGGCATGGCATAAACTTAAAATGTTTTCTATATTTAAGAGCTAATGCGGGTTGATAGACTGGAATAGCTACAAGACAGTAATATTGGTACTGAAAAACTTAACCTTACTGATTATCTAACAGTACCACTTTCGACAACTTGGGAGTTGGGACCATAATTTGAGTGGTTGGAGTGAGCTAACATCAATGCTAACATGTCATAATTTCTTCTTGTTTATCTGTTGCTAACCTGACAGAAAGTTCAGTATCCCCATTGATTGAAGATTTGGTGGTGATGTTGAATGGATCTGAGGAACATTGTCCGAGACTGAACTTCCTGCTTGCCAGACATGGTTGACAAGGGTCCCGTTATTTAGTGGACCCACAACAGCAAAGATGGTCATTTCATTATCTGAATATTCTGCAGTGATGTTGGAAACCTGAAAGCTGAGAGCTTCTGGTTGCATTGAGGGGTTGTAACTTGTTATTGGCGTTGGATAAACTGTCACACTCCCATTAGTGTTGTGAAAAGCAACAAGTGCCTGTGATCCAACCATGCCTCTTCCTGTTGGGTTGATCCCCCATGCGATCCATCCTTTGGATTTTTGTTTGGCTCTGTATGCAATTGCAACTTTTCCGGTGGATGGATTGTAGTTCCAGTGAAGATGGGCCTCTAGATATGGGAGGTCACTGCATGAATAGAAAACTCTGTCGGATGTGAATGTGTAGTTAGAGCAGCTTTGAGCAGAGGAAACAAGGAAAATAGAAACAAGAGTGCAAGATAGTAAACTTGCTCTTATGCTTACAGCCATTGGGTATTGATTTTTTTGGTGGGACTATAGGTTTGTTATACTGTCGGATCAACCAATTGTTGTAACCCGAGTGACTTGTTGCAGATTGGTTAAGGAGATGGAGTCGAGAATTATTATGCTATGCAGACATATATTTGGATTGGGGCTTTATTGTGAGGAAATTCAGGCTTTAATAGGAAGTGACTAAGATGAAATGGAATTGGGAGTTGCTGTTTGGTTTGCTTTAGTTTCACTGATTTCTGCAAGTTTAGGTGAGGCCAAGAAGCTCAATTGTGCAGAGTCATGAAACTGAACTTTTTGTTCTTCCTGCTTGATTTGGCAACTCTTGCATGAGGTTTTTCTCTTGCTTATGCTTTTCCTGTGACATGCAACTATTGTTTTTCCAACCTAACACCCAATTCAGCAGCAAAACCTGGCGGCCAAGTCGTAGATTCTGCATGATAAACCTACCGGAAACTAATGTGTATTCATACGTGCATCGTCGAACATTTACATTTTACTTTTCTCTGATATTTGATGATAATTGAAGGTTGAGAAAGCTCGGTTTGATCATTTTTTTTGACCTTAGTGAAATAATCTCTGTTTAACTGTCACCTTGCATTTGATTATTATACTGATTTAAGCCTATAGTCATCCCCAAGGTTGATATGCAAATTAGTCACCATAAATTAATGTGACAATTTTTCGATTTATGCGTTTCATTCCTGCCCGGGGTCTATGCAAATCTTTTATAAATGCAGACTATGCACACCGGATTATGTGATACGATATGTCGATTTCGTCTAAGATTGATAATTCTTAGTATTTAGTCAATTAACGAAACTCATACAAGATCAATGGTTGTGAGTTTATCTTAAAAGATAGATTCATAAATAGTAATTTTATCATACATGTTTAGCAAATTAGTTGATATAAACCTGATTAAACAAGATAAAAATCAAAATAAACAAAACTATATGACTATATTATGACTCTATATAGATACAAACATGAGAAGAGTTTTTTTTTAAAATGACTTGTCTATGATTTCAAAATACGACAGAACATGAACTACTATCACACCTAATGTTAGCTTTTAAGAATTTCGAAAGCGAATTTCATACGCGCTCCAAATTGGATGACACGATTGAAGACATAATATTATTTGTGGGGTGATTTAGATTCGGATTCTATCCAATATTTTATTTCATTGATATATTACCCCATCATATTTTGCTAGAAGACTCACTTAGATATAATGAGTCACAATTATATTTACGATGAATAAATCTATATAAGTAAATCCATTTGAAAGAGGGAAACACTTTTTGAAATTCCATTGTATAGCTTGTGTGTTTCTTGAAATAAGAGCATTTTCAATTGTAAAGTATTTTTTTTAAATAAAAAGTATCTTTGATAAAAAAAAATTAAAATAAATAGTAAAATTTTGTATACCACTCCAATAAGACTCTTCATTCTTATTCATTTATTATTTTATGTTTTGTCGTTTTTAGGAATATTAGTAATAACTTGTGTCTGAAGACACTGTGTAACACAAAAAAATAAACCTACTAATCAAAGAATCATGAGCCCATATATCGCTTTCTTACCTTTTCCAATATTTCAACCATGCAATGCAGTTCAACAAAAACAATAAAGTTGTGTAAACATACATTTGACTCATAATCTGACAATATGGATTTATTGCAAATAATTAGAACATAAATAGTTTAACTTAATATTTAAAAGAGCATCAAACAATCTTAAGATGAAGTAATTAGTTACAATGTTGTTGTAATGCATAATTTAGAGAGATGATGCCGTAATTTAACAATACATTGACCATAGCAATGTTTTAAATTGCAAGATTCATTTTTTCATCAAATCAAACTTGGTTTCATCAAGCAATATACCTTCATATTGAACTCGAAAACAAAATGATGAAAATTATTGGTAAGATCAAAACCAAAATATTATTACTTGAGAACATTTTTAATCCCAAAAAATATGATTTTTGAGAATAATACCGTTGTACTATGATTGACAACTCCTCTAAACTTGTTTTTCTCTATTTTTTCGGCATTATATGGAAGGTCTCATCCTGGCCTACGTCGATTTCAAGCTATGATAATACTTTCAATCTTTCATGCACTTGCAAAAATCCATTAAACTATGATAATACTCAATTTTAGTATGTCCATTTGCAATTTCATGCACTTGCACAGGCGAGAATACCAAACAATATTGTTACGATGACACGCGTATTTTGCATGTGATTATTGTACTCCTTTAAGCCTATAGTCATCCCCAAGGTTGATATGCAAAATAGTCATCATAAATTAATGTGATCATTTCTTGATTTGTGCATGTCATTTTTGCTTAGGGGCTATGCAAATCTTCTATATATCGTTCCCATTTTATCAGAAGTCCCCGAAGGGACAAAACAATGTTATTGAGCATGATAGTTATAAGAGAAATTGCTTGTGTTCATACTTTCAGACAGGTCAATCTGAACTTCTAGAAAGCTTGAATTATGCGTTAAGCCTCCATATAATTATCAATGACTTGGTCATGAAGTGTACAAAACCCCAATTTTCTAGGAAACTTCAATGGGATAGAAGAAATGGAGGATAGGGAAGATGGTTAGGTGGTGTACCAAAGAAACTAGAACTTTAACTAAAAATGACATATTCGGTGCAAAAAAATTCCGTCTTTAACGACATCTGTGATCGATAAGTGGTAGATAGTTCAACTCTAAATTTTTGAGTGATTGTCCAATTCGAATCTTCATTGTATCATTGTTTAGGTGGATGAGAACTTGTATCCCACCACACCATTAGCTAATCTCCAAAAGCAAGGAGATGATTTTAACTTATAGAAGGGGAAAACATTAGGGAAGGTAGACTACATATTCTAGATGCTAGAAGGAATTTGGTAAGGATTGAAAGACTCGTTCTTAGACTTAAAATAAGAAAAATGTTATATTGCTTAAATCAAAATTTGATTCTTTCATTCTCAATTTAGTTGCACTACACATTAATTGAGAAAGTCGATTTTTAAGGACCAATAAAATGATATTTGTGATGCACATATACTTGTGATATAAAATTTGAGTTAGTAGTAAAAGAGACGGTTCGTAAATTCAGATGTGTTTGAATTCAAAATTTAGTAATCTCTTAAACTCAGACCATAAGCGATTAACTTATCATGAATATCGTAATTTCAGTGTGCATGGTTTACCTTTGATCGGATTAGGGAGATGATTAATCGAGGTGTACATTAATTGAGAAAGTCGATTTTTAGGACCAATAAAATGATATTTGTGATATAAAACTTGAGTTAGCGATAAAAGATACGACTTCTAAATGTGTATGCTCTAAATTCAAAATCTAGTAATTTTTTAGATTCGGACCATAAGTAATTAATTCATTATGAATATTATAATTCTAGTGTGCATAGTCTGCATTTAGCCGGATTAAGGAGATAATTAATCAAAATACGCGTTAATTGATCCAAATACCTTTAATTGTTGAAATAAAAAATAAATATAAAATTTAAGTTTTAATTTGGCTACATAGCACAGCGGTGTTCTTAAAATAATGTGGTTGAAGTCAACTTTTTTGAATTTTAAGGAAAAGTACAGTTGGTGTTTGGATCCTTTTTGTGGAAGCCACAAAAGTAGACCCTAGGCCAGCTTTATATTTATTGTCAACTAAGGCTGCTGACCTTGTATAGGTTGAACTCTAAGGTTGTTGAACTTTGCTTGCATAATTTTTCACCATTAAAAATTAATTTTCAGTTGCAAAATAAAGAAGTTCTTTATAAATCTTTGGGGAAAATGGGCTTTTTCATCGTTATTAAATTCTTGACAAGTTTTTTGGAGAAAAATATGTTAAGATGATTTTGTGGAATTGGATTCAAACACGTTTATATATTTTGAAACTTCAGAATTTATGATGACATTATAAGGAAAATTTTATAAAAATCATTGCAACATAAGACTATCAGGAATATGTATGATATATATTAATATGTTAAAAAAAAACCCGAGAGATGACTCTGTAATTATATCAATACGCGGGAATTATTTGTATTATATGACACTTAATTATATCTCATTTCTAAGAACGACCAGGTGGAATAGAAGAACTCTTGCAATGGAATGAATAAAAGTTTTTTTTTTGGATGGATGAGCCAACTGTTTTACAAGTAATACATGGAGAGTACAATAAGTTGAACGTTAGATTACAAACATAATATTTGCATCATTTTATTTTATTTTNCGGATTATGTGATAAGATATGTCGATTTCGTCTAGGATTGATAATTGTTAGTATTTAGTTGATTAACGAAACCCATACAAGATCCATGGATGTGAGTTTATCTTAAAAGATAGATTCATAAATAGTAATTTTATCATACATGTTTAGCAAATTAGTTGATATAAACCTGATTAAACAAGATCAAAATCAAAATAAACAAAACTATATGACTATATTATGACTCTATATAGATACAAACATGAGAAGAGTTTTTTTTTAAAATGACTTGTCTATGATTTCAAAATACGACAGAACATGAACTACTATCACACCTAATGTTAGCTTTTAAGAATTTCGAAAGCGAATTTCATACGCGCTCCAAATTGGATGACACGATTGAAGACATAATATTATTTGTGGGGTGATTTAGATTCGGATTCTATCCAATATTTTATTTCATTGATATATTACCCCATCATATTTTGCTAGAAGACTCACTTAGATATAATGAGTCACAATTATATTTACGATGAATAAATCTATATAAGTAAATCCATTTGAAAGAGGGAAACACTTTTTGAAATTCCATTGTATAGCTTGTGTGTTTCTTGAAATAAGAGCATTTTCAATTGTAAAGTATTTTTTTTAAATAAAAAGTATCTTTGATAAAAAAAAATTAAAATAAATAGTAAAATTTTGTATACCACTCCAATAAGACTCTTCATTCTTATTCATTTATTATTTTATGTTTTGTCGTTT